CTGGACCGTGCGGTCGCGGAGAAGGAACAATTTCAACGGCTAACATCCTCGCAAACGATCGATCTGGACCGCTTGAGACAGGTATCTCCGCGTAAACGATCGAGAGTTTGCGAATTAACGCGATCGATTTATCAGGACAAGGAGTGCCTCGAGATGCAATACCGAGTCGCCGAAAGAGAACTGAGCGATCTGAGGGACAAACTGGCGAACGCGAATAGAAGCATAAGCAACGCAACGGGAAACATATCGAATCAAGAGGCGTTGATCTGTCAATTACGAGGTGAACACTCTCGATCCGTAAAACTTCTCGAATTTTAAAAGCAAAGTTGTCTGTTTTCGCAGAGGACCTGAAGCACCGCGAGGAAAAGGCGCAACGAGTGCAGAACGAACTTCGACATCTACTGGAATCTCTGGCCATACTCGTCAGCGGACCGAACAGGTTCGTCGAGTCGCACGAGAACTCCATCAAGGATCGTATCAGAGAAATACTGGCCGAGAACAAGGATCAAGCTATCGTATTTTGTTCCATTCTTCCAATTACGCGATTTCTAGCTGCGTGAACCGTTAAGAATACGTTTTGTCCGTTGGTTAGAGCATCCAAAACCTTCGGGAAAAGCTAAACGCGGCGACGGAGTCGACCAATCGACAGAGCGAACTGATCGACAGCACCGTGGCGAAGATGCGAAGCATAGAGGACGAACGGGCGAATCTCGAGTGCAAGGTGCGAAAACTGGAGTCCGAGTTGACTAGCTGCGAGCTGTCGAAGGAGTCTCTGCGGAGGGACAAGCAAACGGTAATTCGTTGAACGAGCGACTCGTACGAATTTCTTTTCCAGTTTGTTACGTTTTTAGAGAGACTCGGTAAAGCGATGCAAATGGACGAGATCTCGGAAGAGATGGGCCTGGATCTTCAAACGGAGTCGCTTCTGGTGAGAGCCGAACAGCTAGCCAGACTGGAGACCGACAAGTTGGTGGACAAGGTAGGGTTCGCGATTTCCTAATTCTTCCCTCGCTAATGGTTTCTTGTGTTTCTTTGACGCAAATTCCTCCTGTTTCCGCGGTCGCGCAGTATTCGTTCAACGACTACTCCAGCTTACCGAGGATTCGACGCGAGCGATCCTTCCACGAGCTTCCTTCTATGAAAGAAGTAAGCCTTCGAAGCTTGTAGTCTGGCTTGTTGGTAGACTTTCGAGATTTTTGCTTTCCGCGCGTCAAATCCCTGTACGACCGTTCACGCGATCGCTTTCAACGACGAGACACTCGCCGGACTACCGTCGTTTCTTTTTCTCTTTCTTTCCTTCGTTTTGTTGCCCGTTAGACTTCGGTGGTGTATCAACTGCAACGGCGCGTGAGGACGCTACGAGAACAATTGCAGCGCAGAGATCTTCATCTGGATCTTCTTCGTAGAAAGCTGTCGCTCCAAGAAGACAGCGTCAGAATGAAATCGTTGCTGCAAAGCGAGAGAGACGAAGCAAATCTTCGGTCGGTTCATATTTCGAAATTTATCGTCGCTCGTGAAATCGTTCACGATTTTATCGTTGAAACTTTGTTCGAAGGGTGAAGAAACTGTCGAAGCAAATCGATCGCTTGCAGCTTCAACTTTCCGAAGAGAAATCGCGGAATCGCGAACTGAGCGCGCAATTGACGGAAGCCGCGGATTACAAGGTACGTGAAATTTTTATTGGACTCGGATATTTTTCACCGATACGAATAATTTTCGAAAACAGATAGCCGCCTTGGAGCGCAGCCGGAAGATAGAGGAACTTCAGAAGCGTCTGGTCGAGAGCGAGATGCTGAGGACTCGATGTAACCGGAAGTTAACGATGTTGAAGGAACAGATGAGGGCCACGACCGAAACCGCCGAGCAAGAGAGATCCATAAACGATCATTCGTTGCAACTCCTTAGAGACGAGCTTGCTCAAACGAAGCAAAATCTGTCGGAGGTTACCAAAAGGGAGTCTCAGGTAGCTGAAATTCAAGAGATATCGCTGCGTCGCAATAATTCGTAAAGTTTGCAAATTGGAAGGAATTGTTGCGATTTGACCGAATTTCGTATTCGGCACGCAACCGACTGTCCCGAATGCGATTCATAGTCGATGACGTTGCGTGTGCGCTCGCTTCGAGCAGAAACGCTTACTCGCGAGGTCAAAGTGTGCCGAATGCACGAAGAATATGAAACTGACGATCGCGTTCGCTTGTTTCGCGAATACGTAAGCGATCGGGTAAAGTTTGCGCCATCGTTAGGACTTTTGGTGCTTCGTCTTGCGTTTCCATTGCGCACGCTCGTCACGATTATGGCTGTTCGGACGTAGAGGCCAACGGGCTCGTTAATCCATTGAAGCAATTTGGATGACGCTCGATGGCATCCATTCGCGTAATCGCTGTCTCACGTTGGAATCTTTGATCGGTTAGTTCGCTCCATGTTTCCGAGCTATTTTATCTCGATTCTTGTTCGTCACGGTGCCGATGCTTATGCCGATAAACGTTCGACGATCATGAAACGCCAAGAGCAAGATCGAATTTTCATTAAATACTTTCGATCGATGAATATTTACCGCGATGGTTGAACGATTTCGATATATTCTTCTCGAAAAACGAAGACCGTCCGTATCCAGTTCAATTTAGGCGACGAGCGATACGCGCTTTCAACTGGCAAATCATTAATTTCCTGTTACAGTTGCAAAGCTTCCGTGTCTCCGTGGTGAAACTATTGTCGGAGCCAATCTGTACGCCCGATTACGAGCTAATTTCACGGCTGCAGAAAATGGTTGCCGCGCATCGAGACTTCACGATGCTTTCGCGCAGATACGACGAACCCTTGGAAGTCAGTCCTTCGAGATGCACCAAGTAATACACTCGAACTTTTCCTCGAGATTATGCCGATTCATCTGCCAAGGATAATCTTGCGATAATCCGGAACATGATCGCTCGTTGTCGTTACAGCATACATTCGACGCATCCTCCTAGATCGCCGGGCTCACGGTGCACTCGCTACGAAGACAGCGGATTCGTCGAACCGCCGGATCTTCGGGACATCGAGGAGGAATTTAATAAGCGGCCAGTTCGAAGCAGCCTTCTACCGTGACAACGACTCATGCGCAAATCTCTATCGTCCAAATTGAGCTTCAATCTCGATTTCGATCGGCCTTGAACGGTGCCGCGTTATCCATTCAATTATACTCGTATTTAATCGAATACACCGATACGAGAACGTGGTCTACCTTTAATTCCCCTCTGTAAGATTCTAAAGCGTGATTGGGCGTTTGACGCAATTTCGTTTCTAGTGTCTATGAAGAACACGGTTACGGAGGAAAGATTTTCGAGCCAGAAACCAGAGATTCCCAACCGACGCCATGCCCTTGGATTTACGCGGAGTCGGCTCTTTAGTTCGACCTCGACAAATCGTCCAAATTCGATGCGAATTCGATTCCGAACGTTCGATTTTCTCGCGATTCGGCGAAAATCAGTTGTCGACTGCGCGTTCAACAGCGTAACGTTGTTACGTTGTTACGCGTGCATCTTAGCTGGATATACGACGACGTAGGCGGGAGTATCGGTATAGAGTGGCACAACCGCATTCCAGGATGCAGACGGCGCGGCAGAAAGGGGTTCGCGTTGCGTGGCAGACGAGTATACGTGGGAACGGAGATGGGCGGAGCGAGAATACAAGTACCTTGGGATTCGCAAAGCCCTTCGGGTGTTCGGGATTTTTCAAAACTCTGCATCAAGCGAAAATCCCCGATTCTTTCTTCGAGCATTATCTCGATGATACGCGCAAGTAAATAATCGCGCGATTAAAGAGCACAAGAAATCGAGTACACTCGCTCGAAGAAACGCGTCATGATTTGCAGCGGAGTAGGTACGTTTCGAAACATTTTTGGACACGTTCGGAAGAGACCACGCGACGCTGGGATCAAGAATGAAAGGAACAAAGACAAGAAACGAGCGAGCTCTGGATCGAACGAAATAACGTTCGCGTTGAAAAGTGGAATATATCGGTGATTACTCGAGATTAGTCTGAGATTTTGCAGCGTCTTCTCTGCAAATAAGAAACGGTGCATTTACGGTGCCATTCGAAGTAACGTACGACCAGATTGAATCTCGTTAACCGTGAACTTGGCCAACAGGCTACTTCTTCGCTGGCACGATCACGAACGCGAACTCGTCGGCTTTAGCCTCCTCGTTACGAACACTGGTTGCTATCTCAGCGGGAGACACGATCGCGTTACCTCTTCTCGCGAACCGTGTAAAACACGTAATAGGGCAACGCGCAGCGTAGCGTTTCCGAACATACCGGCATTATTCGTGTATTACCGGTTTTTCGCTGCTGCACACGCGGTGTACGATGAATTTTATCCTGTCCCTCTTTCCCGCGGTTTCCCGTCAAATTACGCGACGAAAACTTCGATCGCGTCGAATCGGAACGGGTGGCCGCGAAACGAGCGTAGTGAAAGTCGAGTCAGAATGGCCGGAGAATCTTGTTTTGAAATTTTAATGGGAGATTGGATCTCGTTGGCCCTGAACTTGACCGTGAGTGCACCTCCCATCGCGCAAATGCGCGCTTTGTCACACTTCCTGTATCGGCACGAGATATCATCTTGCTTTCTGACCTCTTATCGCCGCGTGTATCTACTGTTTGCATAATAGTTTAATAATGTCGAAGTTGCGAGAAAGCAATGACCTTGATTCGGCTGTAATTTCGGATAATACCGCGTTGCGTATTCAATTTCGCGTTTAGGATGTACGAAGATTAATGGTCATTAGGCGGTGATTGGCCTAAGAAAGTATGTCGTCTGACTCGAAACGAATATATGTAGAAACAAACTTTGAAACAACAATGAACCGAGGCTTTCTCCGACCCATTCTGGGAATATCTTACTCCGGAGACTGAACGCATGGTAATGGTTGCTCGAAAGCCGGAAACGCTTCGGTCTTTTTCAGTGTCAACGCTGCGCCAGTAAGACTAAACGACTGAAACTGCACTTCAACTTGACGTTTTCCTGTAGTTTTCGCCCCGTTCCTTTTTCGAGCAAGAGAATTTCAACTTTTTTCGCAAACTTCCGGCACTTTACATCGCCTTTTCTTCTAAATTGAAAAAGGTCGAGAAATTATCTGCGTACGTTTATTTCTCTGACCCAATCTGCGTTTAAGTACCTTTAAAACACGAGCTCGTTTTACGATGATGATCGAGTCGTAAAAAGCGATAACCCAATATGTTTAGACGGAAAAATTATTTCGATGATTAATACTTTTTCGAACAATGAAATAAACAAACGCGAAGAAGCTACGGAGACAAAGGGAGGTAACCATGTGCATATAACCAGGATTAACGTTGCATTCGAGGTAGATATTGTGAGCTTATCGAATGCTTATTTTGCCGATAAAAGGCAACGAAACGATAGAAACAGGGATTACGCCGAGTGTCTAATTTATAACAGTTTTAATGCATTTCAAGTAGTATTAATTTACAGTTCAGATGTAAACCGAGCCTGCACATTTATCCTAATTGTTTTAAAATAGGTACCAATTTCTTGGCAATGCTAAGAAATCCTGCCTCGGGATCCTAAAAGACAAAAGTAACGTCGAGATAAATATTTCGAGAAAAATATCGATGTTAGATTAGAAAATAATAGCGTGTAAAAGTAAAATTGTTTACCGCTTCTGGTGAAGGATCAGCTTCCGGTTCGGCATTGCTCAGAGAAGCAAAGAGAGCCATAAGAACGAGGGTAATGCCAAGTAAAAACTTCATGTTTCGAACGTTTACTCAAACTTGACTTCGCTTTCGTAATTCGGTCTGTATGATTCTACCACTCGATTTTCTTATTTATACAGAGAAAAAGCCATTGGCAGCATTTATATTACGCTGTTATTCTTATCGCGTCTGTTAAAATTGTCCGAAAAAGACATTAACGTGGTGTAAATTTGCACGAAGCAAAATGCACGCACAAATTTTTATGATGTGAAACGCGATATCTTCGGTGCTGTTCGATACCTTGAGAACCTACTATTTTCAAGTGTATCTGCTATAAGAATACGGTGCTTCGTTTTATCGAGTGATAATAAAAATTGCCGCACTTATGGCTAAGATAACGTAAAAACAAACACTGTTGCAATGTAAGACAAATCGTGCTTAGCTCGTTCGCAAGTGCAAAATCTTGCCACGCAATCAATTTTTTTTTTTTAACAATTTACCTATGATATCATCTTGATTTGTAGAAGAGTATAAGACGCGATTAATGTGTTTGAAGGATATCTGGGTGACTATAGATGATTGAAGATTTAAATTAAACAGGGTCAAATATTCGAGTGACCAGTTTGAAATTGTGGGTGCTAAATAATGAAGTGAGAGGATAAACCGATAAAGAAAATGATAATCTTAAATTTTAAATCATGAATGTATCGACAAGTAGGTCTCTATCTCATCTCTAACATTATATAATTGAATTACTTGTTCTGCACGTTTTTAACGATACATGTAAGTATTGTATGCCCAATCTCGGTGCTTTCACTCATAAAAGTACTGCACAAAGTGATCTTATCGTTAAATTGTGTTAACAATCGGATCTTACGTTTCGTTAACAAATTTTAATTGCTGCGAGATAATATCACCTGGCTGTTCACAGAGATGTCTAAATCTTATATTTCTAAGTATAGGAGATTAAAAGAATATTTCGTATCGATCATATATTTTTCAAAAAACGAGACATTCGTCTTTATCGCATTAACGGCTGATTACAATAATTGTACTTTTTCAGAATATTTGTCGATTCAAGACACCTGTATAAGACGTACTGATATCCAACAAATACTTCTTATCGTGTTAATAGTATAAAAAATATTGAAGAAGAGTCGTCGCGATAGCATTATCCACAAATTAAATTGTGTCGCTTATCGATTATTTAACCACCACGCTCGAATATATTCGATGAATGTACAGCAGGAATTCGCGAATCAATTGTCCTTACATTCGATCGGTTAGCTCCAATGTTGCAAGGGTTTTCGCGCGGCGAAGAAACATGGAACATTTGCATATATCGCGACGGCGCGTTTTCAGCGTTAGCGATACTAGTTCGACGTTTATCAAAACGCATAATGACGACAGCGGACGAAAAGTTTCACAAAAATATGCAAGGATTCATTGAAGAATGCCTTATTTTCTTTCCATTGAAAGGTGTTCATAAAAATGACAGAACATGATAATGTTATCTTTATATCTTTATGAATGGCGATAAATGTGTAATTAAAAACTAAGAGTGAAGGACGATAATTAAGATAAACTAAATGTTGGGGCACAGAGTAAATGCTTTCTCCTTAAATTTCAACGACCAATGAAGCATGACAGAATCGCCGGCAGAGTTGCACAACGAGGAACATAGACAGATGAGGAAAGTTTATCGATAAGTATTACTTCCCCTGAACGAGTTAGCTGGAATGATGAACATAGCAGAGAAGCGCGAATAGATAAAGGGAACAATGGATTTATGATATCTGATTTTTTCGCGTATGTGTTAAACGTATATCGGCGAGGTAATGGTATTGATTGGAAGACTGCGTAGATAAGCGCAAAATTTATCGCGATAAGAACGGTAAGGATATTCCTATTTCTTCGAGCTTTTGCAGCAGTCGTGTACCAACGATCATAGTATCGACATTAATAAGGAACGACAATCGGCAAACATGAAAGAACCGAGGCTTCTTGTCATCGCGGCTATCATTGGTCTGGCCGTTATACAACCAGGTAAAGTGATAGACCTAACAAATATTAATCTGACCGAATGTTACTACCGCGTCTGTTTGTACTATTAAATGTATATTTGTCAAATAACCGATAACATTGTCACAGCAGTGACATCTTAATATCTAATATACGACATAGTGTCAAATTATACGCGAACCTATTTATTAAGTACACAAATAGTTGCACTAATTGATTGACGAAAAATATTTATCGTTCCGTATTTCTCAAACAGGAAATACTTTAAAATGCTACGTTTGCATGGGAAAGGATTGCCAAAATTTAAACGACAAGATGATACAAACTTGTGGCGTACCAACACCGCCGTCTACTCCTGCTACTAAACCAACATCGCCGTCTACTCCTGCTACTAAACCAACATCGCCGTCTACTCCTGCCGGCAACGCAACAACGCCTACTCCTGGCGGCAACGCAACAACGCCTGCTCCTGGAGGCAACGCAACAACGCCTGCTCCTGGAGGCAACGCAACAACGCCTGCTCCTGGAGGCAACGCAACAACGCCTGCTCCTGGAGGCAACGCAACAACGCCTGCTCCTGGAGGCAACGCAACAACGCCTGCTCCTGGAGGCAACGCAACAACGCCTGCTCCTGGAGGCAACGCAACAACGCCTGCTCCTGGAGGCAACGAAACAACGTCTGCTCCTGGAGGCAATGCAACAACGTCTGCTTCTGGAGGCAACGAAACAACGTCTGCTCCTGGAGGCAATGCAACAACGTCTGCTCCTGGAGGCAACGCAACAACGCCTGCTCCTGGAGGCAACGCAACAACGCCTGCTCCTGGAGGCAACGCAACAACGCCTGCTCCTGGAGGCAACGCAACAACGCCTGCTCCTGGAGGCAACGCAACAACGCCTGCTCCTGGAGGCAACGCAACAACGCCTGCTCCTGGAGGCAACGCAACAACGCCTGCTCCTGGAGGCAACGCAACAACGCCTGCTCCTGGAGGCAACGCAACAACGCCTGCTCCTGGAGGCAACGCAACAACGCCTGCTCCTGGAGGCAACGCAACAACGCCTGCTCCTGGAGGCAACGCAACAACGCCTGCTCCTGGAGGCAACGCAACAACGCCTGCTCCTGGAGGCAACGCAACAACGCCTGCTCCTGGCGGCAACGCAACACTGCCTGCTCCTGACGGCAACGCAACACTGCCTGCTCCTGACGGCAACGCAACACTGCCTGCTCCTGACGGCAACGCAACACTGCCTGCTCCTGATCCGGAGGCAAAGTCAGGTACTTATTTAGAAATTCCATGAATGAACCTGAAAATCGCGAAAAAAATAATAACGATCTCTTTTTTTATATATCATATCCATGTAAACGTTTCCTTTATCGATGTATTTTTCACAGACAACGTGAGAAGACGTAGAAGCGTACTCGCCCGTTTCCCTCTAGCACGACAGTCCGCTGACGATGAGATACAGTGGCAATGCTACACTATCAGTATGTTTTTTTACACAATATTCTTCGGTTTTATTTATAAACAATGTCTGTTCAAATGTTATATTTCATATCATCGTAAGACTGAATTTAAAAATCAAGATAAATACGAGTATAACGAATGTCTTTCGTTTACAGACAAGGGTACAGAAAATGAAGTAAGAGGATGCGTCGCAAAGCCAATAAACTGTACAAGCGCTGGGAACACAACAAGTTGTGCAATTTGTGATTCGGATAATTGTAATTCAGCAACCACGAACACTATATTCACCTTCATGATTCTATCCTCGCTAGTAGTTTTAATTCTTACAAAATAAGTTAATCGATTTACTTCAACGTATTTATTATGTAATATTTCAACAGAAATTGACTATCCATTTCAATCCATTACCATTAAATTTTGAGCGATGCAACAAGTGAAATTTACTAATCCGGACGCGTATCATCGTAATCGAAATTGTTAATTGTTGAGTAAAAATAAAATTATTTCTTATCGTTTAAAGACACTATTGTTTCTTTTCACCAATGAAAATACATCTTTCGCCCTCCGGTTTAAGAGTAACGCGTTAGCATCGGTTGATGCGCAACAGACATTGTTCGACTCCAATACTCGATTTACGTTTCAAGCATATTAAAACAGAGATTCGTGTTTGGCGATCGAAAGAGAATCGATGGAAAATAAACGAAAGCGTATTCGGAAAGGTTAATTGACCGTTCGACGAACAATCGTAGCGACGATCAAGCAGATCGACTCAAGGTTAACGGCCTCGAAATTATGTTATGCACGCGTTCCACTCATTAATGCATCGTGTTCAAACTTATCCACGCAAATTCTTCTCGCACGAATGCAACGCAGCCATTGTTGCTCATAGCTCTGAAGGAAATTGCCAATCGACACGATATGTCGCTATACGATTTCTTTTCGCTTTCTTCTTGTTGTAGTTATTTCTTCGCCAATTTCACAGAAACTTTATCCTAACCGTGATACGGACACGAACTTTCATGCCCGACACATTCGCTTAATTCCGATATCGTCTAAAACTACGTGCTCATTTAGCGGGACTCAGAAATTTAGACGTCGGTCTTTGCAAAATCTAGTTTTCAATTTTCAACTCAATTTCTATCCAGTTTATTAGTAAATCAACGCTTTGGCGTCCTCTAGTTACGCCGGGTCGAACCATCGACCGCACCGCATTTTATCTCCCGATTTCCCACAGTTGGCTTATCGTATCTCGATGAACGGATATCGAAAACTATCTTGACTTACGTTTACGAACCATAGACTTTTGAAAGATACAAAAGTCTGAACCGCTATTAACGAATTGTTAATCCACTTTCAGCTAGAATATCTCGGTTGCGCGAGACGCAGAAGAGAAGAAGAGTCTTTTGGGCAGTGCACGATCAAATTATTCGCGCGTTTCGCTCGAGTTATCTCGAACGAACGAATTAAGAAAGCGATAAGATAAACCGAGCGCAAAACGCAGAAAATCGAGGAGAAAGGGTTACGTAGAAAGGTGTAGCGAGTAAAAGGGGAATACAAAGATCAATTGTCGATCGTATAAGATAGATCGATAGCGTGCAATCGTGTACGAATGGTCGCTACCGTTCAATGTCGGGACGAGACGTCTTTTTCCAGATTTTTCATCCGGATAATGGAGCAGGTTCCCCGATCGAACCGGTCCCAATACGCGTTTAAGAAACTGATAAGGTGCACGCGAAGGATCTTTAGGAGAAGGAGGAGACAGAAACGGGATAGGAAGAATACGAAGGATAAAGGAGAGGCGAGGCATGTACGCGTTAATCGCGCGGCAAGGTAGAGTTCGTAAAGCGTGCAGGAATCGGCGCTCGCGTTCGTGGCGGTGATCGCGGTCGCGTTTCGAGTGGCTATTCGTCGGTGGTCGGGTCCGTTGGTTGTGTAGGTAAGCGAACAACGTCGGCTCGTCGAAGCTGCGCCGAGCGGGAGCCGGGAGCGTCCCAACGAGCCGCGAGGAAGCTCAGGCTCAGTCTACCGTCACTGTTCGTGAGCGTCGCTTCGACACGCCGTACCGCGCGGTTTCGCATCGAATACGAGTATCGTTCGTCGCGTTTTCTTTTTCAACCGTGAAAATCGTTCACCTTCGACGTAACGCGAGACTCGACCAACGAGAACGTCAACGAACGAAGATAACCGTGTCGATCGCGTGAACGCGTCGATCGGTATCTAGGGGCCAGCGTCATCATGCTCGATCGGCGCGTTTGAACGTTGCGCGTTCGTTGTCCGTAGGGAAACCGGATTCCGAGACTGCTCTAAAACGAGACTGTCGGCGAACGTGAGTATCGCACTTTTTCCTCGGTTTATCGGTGGCCTGCGATTTGGCGGGAAATTCGAGTGCCATCGAAAAGAGCCGGTGCATCGCTGCGGCGGATCGACGACCGGTCGAAATTAGGAAGACAACGCTCGAAGTATCCGAAGCCTCGCGAAAGTGGCTCTCGAGTAAAGGGAAAGGGTTAATGGGGTGTGCATCCGGTCGCATCGAAATGGGATACAGGTTTCGCGTGGAAGAACGGTGCACGGCGGCTCGCGACGCTTGCAGAATCGCAAAATTGCAAAATCGCGTTCCAGTTGCCGTTCGACGACGCGTTTTCCTCTGAGTATCGAAGGCGAACGCGGAAGGCGAAAAGTTTTTCCGTTTTCCGCGTTCCGGCCGCTCGCGCTCCTTCGATCGGTCGAGCTGGTTCCAGGCACCTGTGCGCAACTCGCTTTTCTCCGAATATTACTTCCAGCCTTTTGTCGCGTCCCTTCGTTCTAAGGACCCGAACGCTTCCGGTCCGTTGAGCTCGTTACAGACGGGAATTTGCTTCCACTTAGTTTCCGCTAACGAGGATAACGAAGCGTTTGTTAACCGTGAATCGCCCTCGTGCGCAGGAGTCGTAAAGTTGAATGGACACGAACCTCCGGCTGCGTTTGCGTGCACGGCTTCTTCCTCTTTTTCCGATATACCGCGGGATCCTGCGTTTCCATCCGTTCGCGAACGAAAGCAAACTCGGCTCGCGAAACGCTTCGACTCCGCCGTTACCGCTTTTCTATCTCGTCTTATCTTCTTACGGAAAAATTAATTATCCGCTAGAACGTTTTCAAGTTCAACGAGCTCTCGCGCCTTCGTAATACGGTAAGAGTCGTTCCTCTTTTGCGAAAGTATTTCTTTTTATTTATCAACGTTGTATCGTACTCGACGCGTTGTCTTTGACGGAATTATCAAAATATCCAAAACGGACATAAAGTTGGCGGTGTACGACTCTCGATGCGTAACTAATTTTCAATCGATACGGAAGCGACTGCCCGTTTCCTTATCGAGCGCGATCGCGTTACGCGACACGAAATCGTTCGAGTATATAATCCCGTTACGATAATCAATTCTCTCGCGTCGTTTTCGTATGCGATCGCGGCTTTTTGAGCGAGGAAAGGAACGCGATGGCGCGAAATTGCATAGTTAATGGTTGATCGAACAGACGGTCCGATAACGCGTATGGAAATTGGATCAGTATGTCAGGAACATGCCGCGCGTATACGATTCGTCGCACGCTCGATGCCGCGTTTCCGAGCGTACCGCAATTTCGTTTCGTTTTCTCGTACGATCTCTCGCGGTAAACGGCTTCTGCCCGATGCTTCCTCGAGTACGCCGAACGATTATCGAACGTTTGTCCTCTCCTCGGCTCTTAGGACTCGAAGCGGAGAATCGAACCGTAAACAAGGGCGCAGCACCTACTCACCCGTTTGCTCCCGCGATGCGTCACCTCGTACGTCAGATAAGAGAGGTTCGGTTATCGACGATGATTCGCGAAAGAGAAACCGACGGCTCGTGTTCTGTTTTTAAATCAACTGTCGAAGCATACAGAAGATATTAGTTTCGATCGTAATTCGATTAAAGATTTATGCGACGAAATTGGACCGCTTTAGGATTACCGCTGTTCCCGATCCGTCTATTCGATTAGAGATCCGTCTAAATCGGTGCGAATTCAACGCGAAGGAAGCGCAACGATTTCTACGTGAAACGATAAGGGAGGAAACGGCGAGAAAGGAAGGAGAGTTCGTCCTACGGGCAAAAAGAACGAATTCGAGGATGAAAAGCGCAACGAGGTAGAACGAGCGCTCGTTCGCGTGCACGGCTGCGTACGAGTAGACGCGCGCGTGTTCGCCTCGAGTACGATTCTCGCGGTCGGAGAAATCGGGAATGTAGAACTTTGCACGGCCAACAACCGCACGATTCGCCGGATATCCGTTCGAGCCGCTACGAGAGACCGAAACTTGCGAAGCCAGTTCACCCACGACACTGAAAGTTACGAGCGGAGAAATCGGTACGCTTCGTTTTGTCGTCGAACCGGTCCGTAACAAAACATTGCTCGGTCGTAAGAGAATTTCGCGTTACGCGTAACGTTACGTTCGATCGAATACGATAATTCTAGCGGCGCTAAACGAACGGCGCGACTTCCTTTCGACGAACCTTTCGACCGTTTACTTTGCGCCGTTCGAGGAGCTCCGCGTCGAAGCGAGTATGCAAAACTTTTGCCGACGAGAAGCACGAAGAAGAAAGAAAGAAGAAAAAGAGGAACAGAAGGGGCCGTGGGGTCCGTTGCTGCCCAGTTCATCGACCTATCGTCCGGTCTCCTTAGCTTCTCGTTCTTCACCTTTCTCCCGACGCTTTGTCTTTTCGTCGATTCTTTTTCGTTCGATCGGCAAAAATCCTCCTTCCGTCGCCACGCGGTTCGAATCGCCGCTAGTTCCGTTCGGAACTCTCTCTTTCTTTCGTGACGCTCGATCGGTCGCAAAAGAAACGAGGATTGTACCGTTCCACGTTACGTTCTGATATTCGAACAAAAATTTCGCTCGTCGTTTTTCCCAACAAATCTGCCCCCTACTTTCTTATCTATATTTTCTGTATCGAAGAAATTTCGATGGAAAGCAAAATTTCGCGCGAAAGCGAACGACCTTTGACAAAATTATAAGTATTTGGCGAATACGGTATAGCCGCTCCCTCGAGTTCAACATTCTCGTTTGTCGCGCTTTGTTTTCTTTTCCGGTGCTTAACGGTTTAACGGCAGGTACTCGACGTCGTTACGAGGTATAGTAATTACCGCATGCTCGCAACCGCTTTTAATTATTGGAAATATGCAACGAGCATGCTGGACAACCGGCAGGGTCCGTTTCGATTCGCGGCTATCTTCGTTGCCGTAGCTGCCTCGCTGAATTCGCGATATTTTTCCTTTTATTTAGCTATCAGATTTGTACGCGTACACGCGCGTAGACTTTCCGCTCGGAAAGAACGCAAAGGAGGTCGTCAGAAACGAGATCCGTGCGAATGCATCTCTGCCAAAGCTTCTCCGTCTCTCCTCTCGCGTTCTTTCTTCTGCCCGATTCTTCTTTACCTTTTCGTCTGTTTTTCTTCTCACGGACCGACCGGTAAGGCCACTGAAGAATTATTGTCCACCTAAAGCCGACTGCTCTCGCCGGATTAAACGCGCACCTTCCAGTTAATCGGCGCGAAATTAAACCGGTTTTACCTTATACAGTCTTCCACTCGTCTTCGCCGGTCGAGAAACGAACGAGTATCGATTTCAACGGAACATCGATCTAATGTTCGCGAAACGACCGGTGAATCGGAGAGGAACGATTACGGACAGGAAGTTCGCGAAGCAAAGTATCGAATCGAAAAGCATCGCTCTCGTTACCGAGTCCTTTTATTCGCGGTGTCTAGCGCGTAAACGTCTACCGTGCCGTCCGTTGTCAAATAGAAACTGGTCTGCTCCCACTAGCGATCGATGCTCCACATTCTCCTGTCGGCAGGTGAAATTCGAGATGGAAAAAGTTTCCACTACAAAGGAATGCCAGTCCATCTTCGCGTTCCCTTTCTTCTCCGAGTAATAACGCGCATCGCGGATACCGGCAGTTTGCGCGATAGCTACTCTTATCGAACTAACCGCGGAAAAAGGAATAATAATTCGTTGCTGACCTATTTCTTTCGTACCTCGATGTTCCGCCTCGAAAATCTCCCGTTTGTTTCGCCTCTCCTTTTGTCGGACGGTGACTAGAAACAGTGTGTACATTGTTCTCAGCAGCTGACCCTACGGCTCGTTTCTTCTGTTCTTATCTAACGAGCAAACAAGGCTCTCCCGAATCTCTCCGAGTATCTCGCGTAGAAAATTTAAAAGAGTTCAAAGCCCTTTACGAGCGATACGAAAGACGGTCGCTCTTGCTCCAAAGAATAAGTAGATTAGGATCCTCGTGTCGAGTAAACGTTTCGATTTTACACCAACGCGTATTTCGTAAACGTGTCAGCCGATACGTCGAAACGTGACACGAATTTGGTGGTGTCGCTTTATCGCGCAGATAATTTTGTCGAATCGAGTTTGTCTCGTTAGTTGGTTCAACCTTTACGCAACCGTGTTTAAAGAACGCGTGTCGCGTCTCGTTCTCGTTTCCAGTTGCGCTTCTCGCAACAAGAACGTATTCTTCGTCGACGTATCGTTCGCGAGCCCGATAGATCGCAGGGACACGCGGTAGACTCGAACGAGACGTAACCGAAACAAGGACACGAGATTGTCCTTCCCTTCCAGTCGAGCGTCTCGAGACCCTAAAACCTCCTTCGAAACAGGAAGACTGACCGGGAAGACAGGTTGGAACAAGGTCGAATTTGCGATTTGTGGGTCGGCCGGTTCGGCCTCTGCCATCAAAAGCGTACCTGTCTCGCGATCGAACCATCGTGTCCGTTAACATTGTCTAACGCGAACTCGTCCGTTGGGCGATCCGATCAGAGCCGGAAACTACACGCCGATACGAGTTAACTCAACGATGGTTTTTACCAAGCCATACGAGATTTGCTACCGAAAGCGTGTCAAGGTTTAGACTCGCTAACGAAATCTCCGAGCAAGTAATATAGTTGAAAGGTTTTCGAGCAGTCTACGAGCGACAGTCTACCGAAGAAAAGCGAATCGAATCGATTTCGAACGAAAGCGATCGATGCAGTATATAAACGATGCGTCGCTTAGTGGATTTTAAAAGATCATTGAGACTGGAGACTAAATTAAACGCTATTAAAGTTGGGTCCTCGGTGTTCGCGCAAACTATAACGACTGGCTAACTGTCGCGTCGTGTCGTGATCCTGGTACGAGCTAATGAATCATTAACGGTCCTGTTAGCCCATTACCGTCTCTTAACCCTTGGGAGTCTGTTTCGTATCCGGTTGGCCCGAGTCGGTCGAGGGCAGACGAGCTTCGTCTCGTTTACGTCATGCGAGTATGTACCATTCTTTTCGACCTGCTCAAGCACTCGTCT